AAGTACTGCGAGCTTTAGCTATAACCAAAACATCATGACCGGGATAAAAAAAAATAATGTAAATGTTAAGTCAAAATTTAATAGATACCGTCAAAATATACTATAAACACAAACAAACCACATACTGGATTCGCTCGTACCTTATATGATATTGTCCAATAACGCAGAGAGAATAATGGTGAAATAGAACAAATAAAATCCACTACAAATTAATAAAATTATTTATTGTACTCCTAATATTTGCGTTTGATTTTCAAGTCTATTGAAGGTATAAATAGATTTATTGCCGTCTAGCCAAACAGAATGCTTGAAAATCACGCTGGCATGATGGCGTCTTTGTATTTACATGGAGATCCGTTGCTAAATTGTTTCTATCAGCTGTATATGGATGTGAGATTTCAGCCAGTAATGAATGAATTATGTTTTGTTTGACATTCTATGGCAGATTTAGCACGATATAAATCCCATGTATAGAGGCGGCATCTTGTCTACGGTGACGGCATCTCAAAGGCGATATTTTATTTACAGAATGTTTCAGAATTACATCTATAAGAGCAGAACATTCCATACATAGGTGGTATTTTTATTTTTTATTTTTTTTATTTTTGGTATTCTTATGCGCCACTGATCAATAGTACTCTTAATATTGCTTGATGTTGTGCCATACACATAAGATTTAAGTAAACCATTTTTGTCAAGTGATCAGCAGAGAACCTTATATTGCTTTATGCTGTGCCAAACGCATATAATCTGAGTAAACTTTCTTTATCAAGAATCATTAGTACTCCTAATATTGTTTGATGTTGTACCATGCACATAAGATCTTAGTTGAAGTTACAAAAATGAGTATTTTGTGAACGTTTTAAGCACTTTGTGTCAGTGTATTTGAAACCAATGTTCTCACCTTGGTAGACATTTTAATTTACCAGTTATATCCTGACAATGACTTTACATCTATTAAGAAAGATAATTTTTATTTTTTCGAGAAGTAGTTTAGGAGCTAAGAGTAGAGTAGTAAAAAGACATTGATGTCACTAATAACTACATTTATGGCTTGAGTAAGCTGTTTGCTTTATTTTTCCGCACCAGCCCAACTCTAATGGATCCAATGACAAATTATTGATATCTGCTCTTCCTATCAATTTAACTAAATTTTTAGGCCGGAGAGGAAATTAATTAATTTTGTGTATATAATTTATTTGAAATTGAACACTTTATGTAAGTCAAAAATAAAGCTAAGTAAATGCTGAACAGCTTTGACGTATGTTATCACATTTTTACTTCTCTGGGAAAGCAAAAAGTCAAAGGTTTGAGTTAGTTTTTAATATATTATAATCTAGGATCCCATTATAATTACAATGTTGTTGTATAGTTCACAATAGGAGTTTGAAACGCTTAAGATGATATTATAGAAGATAGAAAGGATTTTCTGGTTAATTTGAATTAGAATGTATGATACCTGGTATCTCCACTGCTTCCTTGAGATTCACAGCACAGAAAGGATCGATTATGTCTGAGGCTGACCCATTAGTCACTTCGTCTCCAAACTCTACTTGAAGCAGTTTTACTCGCACGAAACCTTTCCCCGCCATTTTCTTTTGAGACACGTGCTACAATTCAGTAGTGTATAACCTTTTCGGCTGTTTGTGAAAAAAAAGAGAAGGAAAAACATAATCAACTACCTTCAAATTATTACCAAAAGAACAGTCGTACTCCTGATATTACTCGGTTCTAAGCTATACACATTAGGTCTGAATAAACATACCTTGTCAACGGATCAGTAATACTTCTAATATTACTTATGTCTTTTAACATAAAACAATAAATCCTCTGACGTTTATAAGAGTAAAAAATATAGCCTTTAATATCTTGTAACATAACACAATCAAAACTTTGATGTCTTGCATCAGACAACAATCAAGGCGTTGATGTCTTGTACCAGAAAACAGCCAAGGATTGGATGTGTTGTAATAGTAAGCAGTCAAGATTATGATGTGTTGCAAATAAAACAATCAACGCTATGGAGTGTTTTGATAAAAATAACCAAGGCTTTTATAACTTGTAACAGTAAAGAATCAATGTTATGATGTGTTGCAAAATAAAACAATCAATGTTATGGAGTCTTGTGATATAAAACAATCAAAGCTTTCATGTCTTGTGACATAAAACAATTAAAGCTTTCATGTCTTGTAACAGTAAAAAATCAAATATATATGTGACTTTGATGTCTGTAGCAATAAACAATAAAAACGTTGATGTCTGTAACAGTAAACAATCAAAGCTTTGATGTGTTGTAAGAGAAAACAATCAAAAGATGTGATATCTTATACCTGAAGAACAATCAAAAATGTGTTGTCTTGTAACAGAAAAAAATCAAGGGTTTGATGTCCCGTAATAGAAAACAATAAACAAATTACAATGAGTAGCCTGCCCTCTTGCAATGAATTTCGACTTTTAGCAGTTTGATTATTAATTAATGAAAATATTGTCATAAGTGTTTTTGTCACAAAAACCATCAATGTATTATTTATGGAAAAGGTCATCTATTGTCATAAGGTAAAACCATGCAAAACCATACTGATGGACTACTTATCAAGTTTTCAATATCTAGCTTAGTTCTTTCAGAAAATATGTAAACTCACACACGCCTGTTCATAACCTATACTTCAATTATAAATAATTTCTACTACAAATAGAGTTTTCTGCAACACTTATGTCCACCAGTGACTCAGCTGTAAGACTGTTGGCTGATAATGCTTAAATTCGAGGTTTGATCCCTGTAGTGGCCAGAGCACAGACATCCAATTGTGCTGCTTTGCGGTTAGCAACAAAACAGATGAACTAATGCTTATTTTGATCCGAATGATTATATACTTCTCACAGGTACAGGTACAAGGGAAAATATGCATGATTATATACTTCTTACAGGTACACGTACACGTACAAGGGAAAATATGTAATTTTCCTGCACTACTCTCGTAATTTTTGTTTGTTTGTTATGAATTTCGCGCAAAGCTACACGAGGGCTATCTGCACTAGCCGTCCCAATTTAGCAGTGAAAGACTAGAGAGAAGGCAGCTAGTCATCACCACACACCGTCAACTCTTGGGCTACTTTTTTTTTACCAACGAATAGTGGGATTGACCGTTCCATAATAACGTTCCCACGGCTGAAAGGGCGAGCATGTTTGGTGGGACGAGGATTCGAACCCGCGACCCGCAGATTGCGAGTCGAACGCCCTAACCATATGGCTATGCTGGGTCTCCTCGTAATGAGGTTTGTTTTAAGCAGGCAGTGCTTGTTTGTTTGTTTTAATTTCCCGCAAAACGACTCGATGGCTATCTGCGCTAACCGTCCCTAATTTTAAAGTGGTAGACTAGAGGGAAGGCACCTTGTCAATACTACCCACCTTCAACTATCGGACTTCTCTTTACAAACATTTAGTGTGATTGATCGTCACATTATAACACCCTCACGGTTGAAAGGGCGAGTATGTTCAATGCCGGGATTCGAAACTGCGAACGGAAGATTGCGAGTCGAGTGCCCTATCTACCAAGACATGCCAGGTTGTAGGCGATTCTGTAAAATCAGTCTAAGTTCTTATGTTAATTTTGGGTTTATTTTACGTCACTTCACAAAAAGAAAAAAAAAGAAGCTGCACAACTCTGCTGATAACAATAAAATTAAAGTTCGGGCCTGTTCACTGTTAGTTTATAAAAGATCTTCATGGTTGATTTTATTCTTTTTTTACCGTACAAACTTGATATACTATTATCCTATCAAAATTGGTAAGTTTAATCTTCGGAGTAGTCCGTAGAAAGCGGCAGAGTTAAGCGATTTCTAGTCTCGACTTACAGCTATCAAGTTACAGGAATTCTCACAGAACTTCATGAGGTGATATTAACACTGAGGATATCACGTGAACAACAGTTAGTCAAAGAAGAAGAATTGATTCATCTTTAACTCACTTTCATCATGATTATAAAAATACAGTACCATAAGTTGCAGTACCTCTAAGACCTTCAAGACATTTGTTTGTGAGCTTAAAAAAATGTAAAAAGTTGTTTTACTAAACGTGCATTCAAATGTTTTTATGCAAATGATTTTGGAATTCAGTCAATATATTTTCACAGACATAATGTTAAAATATCCACTATTTTTCCACTCATTCTTTTTCCCTGGGCTCAGATACAGGAAGCATTAATGACTATTGTATTGTAAAATTATTCGTTTAAAAACAGGAAATTATATCACTAGCAACACTTTTCAGATTTTCGCAAACGTCGCAGAAAATGGGGAAAAAGTTTGTTTCTTTTGAATTTCGCGCAAAGCTACACGAGGGTTATCTGCGCTAGTCGTCCCTAATTTAGTAGTGTAAGACTAGAGGGAAGGCAGCTAGTCATCACCACCCACCGCCAATTCTTGGGCTATTCTTTTACCAACGAATAGTGTGATAACGCACCCACGGCTAAAAGGGCGAGCATGTTTGGGGTGACGGGGATTCGAACCCGCGATTGCGAGTCGAGCGTCCTAACCACCTGGCCATGCAAGTTTTCCAGAATATTTAGTTTCGCTGATTTATTGATATTTATCATGCAGATATAAAAAATAATATTTCAAAAAGTTTTTAAGAGCAGTGAAATATGTTCTTTATTTTATACATAATGTTTTACTAAAACAAAGTTTATTAAAAACTTGATCATTACTGTCTGATAAATATTCTTTACTAAATTATTTTTGATTAAAAAATGGCGATAAAAATGACTAGATCGATAAATATCTTTGGTTTTAGAGAGTGATGGCTTCACTACTTCACTGTTAGGAATCTGAAATTGTCTGCCACCCTTGGGTTTCTCAACATTCCATGAATGCTGGATTGAGATGCTTTTTCTGCACCTCCATTTTTAACTTACACTGTTCGATTTCCAGTTAAAATTAATCTACCCGACATAAAGTGTGGCGATGATTAAGGAATAACCGCTCAAGGTAACTCTAGAACTCGGGGTTCAATCCTTGTGATGAGCACAGCGCAAGCAGCTGAATGTGAAGTTTTCTGTTTAAACTAAAATAAACATGTAAAACAACAATGGACATGCCCGAATAAACACACAACCAACAAGCAAATCACGTCACAATGTAAGGCGCTATTGGTTAACGAGCCCGGACCGTGAATCCAATGATTTACGGTTCTCTTGCCGTTGTCGCATAAACACGCTAAGCACTGTGGATGAACTATAAGAATGACGATCAAATAACGATCAAAGCGTTAAATACTTTATTCGGAATATTACTTGACATTGAAACTCACCTTTGAAATACAGCAAAGAATTAGTCAGTTATATATGACTTTGTGTTGAAAAATTATTTATTTAAAATTAATGATAAAGTTTATCAACAAGTTAAAGGTCTAGCAATTGGATCCCCTTTATATCCTGATTAGAGTGATATATACATATATATATATATATGGATAGCTTTAAAAATTCCAGATTAATAAAAAAAAAGCTTTAATAAAACCTATAGGATACAGAAGACACTTTGTGGTGTGGCGACCATTAAGGAATTATTAAACTACATGAATGGTAATAATGAAGGAAATACAATCACTATGGAGTCCAATATACATGAATTAGCCTTCTTAGATTTTTTTTTTCTCATAGTCCCTGCGGATCGTTGAGCCGATGGCAGATCTTGCTCTGCCATCGTTTCTCAAGCTGTTTCTTCTGTGCAACCCACTTAACAGCCTTCCCTCTTTGAAAGGACGAGCATGTTTGGTGTGACGGGGATTCGAACCCGCGAACCTCAGATTGCGAGTCGAGCGCCTTAACCACCTGGCCATGCCGGGCCCTTCTTAGATGTACTCGTTATCAAATGTGACAATAAGTTAAAATTAAAACACTTTTGCAAACCTGTTGCTGCCAGCATGCCAACACATTGCAACTCCAACCACTCTTTAAGTCAGAAACTAAGCACATTTTACAACTATGCTTGGCAGGCTATTACTGCATGTTCTGATAACACAGATATAAACAAACAAAATAATTATTTAAAAGCAGTAGCAGAGGAGAGATGTTATGACCCTATAATTGCTGACAGAAGTTTCCAAACAATGAAGGACAAACATCTACAAATGAAGTAGTCTAAATTAACTCTATTAGATCCATCATATCAAAATAAGTTCATTAATACGGTTTCTTTTCTTGTAATTTCGAAAAAAATAAATGCTAAACATTCATATTAAATGGTTAAAAGGTAATTTTAGTTTTCATTCCTTAAAACAAAACTGTTAATAATTTTAAAATACTCAAAGATCCAAAAAAGATTGAAGAACAAGACAGTATTTATCAAATCAGTTGTAGTTATGGTATAATGTATAAAAACTGTAGCTGAATATTTCTGGAATTGTAATGGTAATTATAGTTGGAAAATGTGAAAATTTTAAGAAATACATCATTAGAAACAGATTTGTACCATAAATAGAGACAATAGACCAATCAACGTGTCATATTGGAATAACTTAAGTATCCATTTGTTAGAAATTTACTAACCTTCCTCCCTTTGTCTCCTGACCTTGTTTTAAAAATGAACTTATCCATTAACAGTTGGAGTTTAATATAAGCCAATCTAACCCCGTAGCCATTAGCCCTGATTATGGTAAGTGTGTTATCGAAATTAATCTGCTAAAATATTTAATAAAGGTTTTGAGCCAAAAAAACACGTCGTTTTTATTTTTTATTCTTAATAAGTCTATATACGTTTGTAGATTATTATCTAATGTTAAAAAGACCTGTTATCACATTATGTTGACCATTTCTATGTTCAACAGTTTGTATACATTTGGAGATTACCATCTAGTATTTAAAAAAAAAGTATATTTATCCCATTATGTTTACCGTTTCTATGATCAATATGATATATATACTGTTGAATATTATTATTTAGTATTAAGAAAGTCTAGTAATCTCATTAAGTTTGTCGTTTCTATGTTCAATAGTCTATATACATTTGGAGACTATTATCCAGTATTAAAAAGTTCTGGATAAAAAGCAAAATACGTGGATAATTCTGTTTTCTGCAAAGTTAATAGAAAAAAAAACAATTAAAAACTAAAAACAAGTGAGATGTTTCGGATATAACAAATGAAGTTTTGTTAACGAATGACGTATAAGTTTCCAGACTGGAAATTGATTGAGTCGTTTTAGTATTGACTTTGTCCGCAATGTCATTTAAAGTTTTATTGAGCTGGATCAGTAGTAGGTACAAAGTAAACCCATATACCTTTCCAACATGCTTTCCTATAAATAGTAACTTATTTCTAAGCAAATGATATAAACGTCGTAATTAGTGTTGGACGATGCATTTTGTGGTTTACAATAAATGCTTTATAAAAGTCCTTTAATAAAGACGCCATTAGAGAAAAATCCCCAACTAAAATAAATATAAAAGGCATCGATATAATTTAATTACTTTTCTTTGGCTTGATTTACCAATAAAATTAAATACTGTCATTGCAATAATGTGTGGCTACACATATCTATCTGTCTATACATTCCAGTATCTCTATTTCTTTACCAGCAGTAATGTGTGGCTACACATATCTATCTGTCTATACATTCCACTATCTCTATTTCTTTACTTGCAGTAATGTGTTGCTACACATATTTATCTGTCTGTACATTCCTCCATCTCTATTCCTTCACTTGTGACAGATAAATATGTGTAGCCACACGTTACTACAAGTGAAGAAACGGAGATAGTGGAATGTATAGACAGATAGATATGTGTAGCCACACATTACTGCAAGTAAAGAAATAGAGATAGTGGAATGTATAGACAGATAGATATGTGTAGCCACACATTACTGCAAGTAAAGAAATAGAGATAGTGGAATGTATAGACAGATAAATATGTGTAGCCACACGTTACTACAAGTGAAGAAACGGAGATGGAGGAATGTATAGACAGATAAATATGTGTAGCCACACATTACTTATACATTCCTCCATCTCTATTTCTTCACTTGCAGTAATGTATGGCTACACATATCTATCTGTCTATACATTCCACTATCTCTATTTCTTCACTTGCAGTAATGTGTGGCTACACATATCTATCTGTCTATACATTCCTCCATCTTTAGTTCTTTACTTGTCTATCTTCTGTCAGGTTTTTCTGCTCTGACTTCAGTAGTTAAAGAAAATCGGCAAAGCATTTCAACAACAAAAACATTCATAAATTTTATCAATAAAGAATGAAGACTAGATTGGCATGAGCGATGAGATGAAATAGGAAACAATGTGCGATGACGTTACCTAGGAAACAATGTGCGATGAGGTTACATAGAAAACAATGTACGATAACGTTACATAGGAAACAATGTGTCATGACGTTACATAGGAAACAATGTACCATGACGTTACCTAGGAAACAATGTGTGATGAGGTTGCATAGAAAACATTGTGCGATGACGTTACACAGGAAACATTGTGTCATGGCATTACATAGGAAACAATGTGCCATGACGTTATATAAGAAACAATATGCTTTGAGATTACACAGATTACAATGTGCAATAACGTTATATAAGAAACAATATGCTTTAAGGTTACACAGAATACAATGTGCAATAACGTTACGCGGGAAATAATGTGTGATGACGTTACACAGGAGACAATGTGCAATGGCACGAGATGATAAAGTCAGAAATATAATATAATATATTATACCTCGAATAATGAGGATGATAAACGCAACAGTTATATAACGGTACAGAACCGCATCAACTTTAAAAAAAGAAACAATGTTTAGAAAAAATACCTGTAAAATAACCTCGGTTATTATTAGAATTATTGTTCATTTAGAAGATGTGTCAGAGGTCCTTATATCTGAATCCAAGTGTTTTAGAGACCGTTGAATAATTTTGGCCTACTGAAAATTATTAAATATTAATTAATTAATATTATAACATTGTTTTTTTTAATTAAGCCTAACAAGCTACTAGCATAGACTATCAATAAAGTATAACATAATTTAATAAAATGCCTTTACACTTGAAAAATGTTAAATTCTACTGCCGAAAGTATGTTAATTTCAGAGTTCACGTTTCAACAGTTGTTGGTAACATAAATCTTGTATCGTGCTTAAAGATTAACGTGGTTTCTGACTTATAATGTTAGTGGTAAGCAGGAATGATAATACTTTACCATTTTACCCTTTATCACATATTTATGAACTGACCACTTACACATACGAAACTTACCATCACCAGACAGTTTGTTGAAATGAACGTCAAGAAATAGTTATGGACGTGCTACTTCAAATTTGATAACTTGTTTCACGTAACGCTAGAGCTAACAGGCTGAAAGTTAGTATCTTAGAAACCTGTGTCTTACGAGTATACAAAGCAAACGTTTCCAGCTGTCTTTTAGCAGTGATAGCTCAAGAGTAACTAATATGTTGAGCATCATGCGGAATCAATGTCTGGAGGAAGTTCGCTCACGTCATTTCCTGTTACTATCTGCTAGCGTTAGGTCTGTTTAGGGCAGGAGTCTGGCGGGCTTATTTATTAAACTAAAATAGATTCTATAGTTCTTCATAAATCCTTCCCAATTTCAGTATAGCCAAGCTACAAACAATATAGAGCAAGCTATTTTCACGGTTCTCTCATCAATCAGAATAGCCAACATTATGAATAGATTGAGTTACCCACGCTGTTGAATTACCTACGATCTTGGATATATCCTGAATTGTAAAATATCGATACTACACACAATGTATTTGAAGTACATTATGCAAATATAATAATACTAAGGAAAACAACGTTTTGTCAGCATAAGGAATAATTTTATTGATGTTGGAACATATTACATGTTTCAACAGAACATTGGTCTGTCTTCTTCTGTCCAAACATATAGTATGCTCCACCATCAACAAAATTCTTCATTGTGCTTATAAAATTGTTGTTTGCCTACCTATTATTACACATGATGTGTGATATCATTTGACTGAGGTAGTTCTTGGAGTTTGACATATACCGAGTACCACGTCACATAGTACATTGATTTTTTCATGATACTTCACACAAACATGTCGATAAAAAGTAACAAAATTTCATGTAAAGAAACTTGATAGCTGAAGCACTTTCCAAAGGTATATCTTCCTTCTTCAAGAGTGTTTTTTGTTTTGTTCGAAGTTAGCACAAAGCTACACAATGGGCTATCTGTGCTCTACACACCACAGGTATCGAAACCCGGTTTCTAGCGTTATAAGTCCGCAAACATACCGCAGTGCCAGTGGGGGGCTCTTCAGGACTGAATTGTGGCCTACATTCCGGAAGTATTCAGGTTATCAAGTTTCTCTGTTGGTACTCTAATTGTTATTATATATATGCCGTAATAGAATGTTTCCGATTAATAATTAATTATTTCGTATCATGTAAAACTTCTATTATCTAGAGGTAAGCCAATACAGAAAATGTCTTGAAGACCCGTACAGTTTCAAATAATTAGTTGTTTGGAATTGTTCAATCTGTTTTTCTTTAACTTCTAAGGCTTCTATTACCTGGAGGTAAACCAATACAGAAAATGTCTTGAAGACCCGTACAGCTTCAAATAATTAGTTGTTTGGAATTGTTCAATCTGTTTTTCTTTAACTTCTAAGGCTTCTATTACCCTGGAGGTAAACCAATACAGAAAATGTCTTGAAGACCCGTACAGCTTCAAATAATTAGTTGTTTGGAATTGTTCAATCTCTTTTTCTTTAACTTCTAAGGCTTCTATTACCTGGAGGTAAGCCAATAAAGAAAATAGTTTGAAGACATAACCTGCATAAAATGATCAAATGTTTGGGTATATTCCGCCTTTTCCTTATCATGAATTGTTTACGTAGTCTGCAAAAAAACAACAAAAAACAATCCTTTCAAAACGACTCACTAATAAAATGAATAATTTGGATTTGTTCAAACTCACCTTACAGCGGATAATTTCTATCGTTATCATCTGAGGTTAGGAAATAAAAGGAAATCATTTCAGAACCCATCAGATAAATATTTACAATAGTCTTTCTTTTTATAGACTCTCTGTGAGATGTACCAGGCTAAGTATTGTACTAATGGCTCATTTTATTTTAAACGTCCCGTGTTGATAGGCCATGCACAGAAAAAGTCCTAGAACTTATATATACATATGTATATATATATATTTTAACTCATTGCCTAGATGTCGCTGTCGGAGTTTTGCGAATCTATTCCATTTTTCACCATTCCTTTTTCATTTCCATTAATATTAATAATATTAACGTCTTGACTTTCTCAACTGTCCAGTCACGTCACTTCACTAAAATGATTGTCTAACATACTGATACAAAAATAAATTAATTGCTGATGTTTTTAAATCACATTTTGGTTACTTTGCTCATTGCAAATCGAAATCATAGGTCTGAAAAATAGCATTTCAGATCTATCTTATGTCTCCCAGAAGTCACTGCCAAGTAAGTTTTCCATTCAATACCAAACTCATCAGTCGGGCTGGATGATCAGAGACAAAAAGTTCTATGAATGTTATTTATGTAGGCAGTATAATACTTTAAAAACTTGTGTTTTACATACCGAACGCCGGCAAAATATTGGAACACCATTGGCCTAAAAATTGTTATAAAAAACAAGTTAACTACAAATGTTGTTGCTGTTTGTTTGTTTTTACATATTTATTTTTAGTTTATCCATTGTGGTTTCAAATCAATACCATTAAGACTAAAAATGAGAGTAAGATTAAAATGTTTCTATTGAATCGTGCGAAAGTCAATTGATACATCAAGCTAATAAAACAAAAGCTTAACTGAAATTTAACTACCATTCTGTTAGGACTAAAATATGAGTTCATCTCCTTTACTGTAGTAAATTCTTATCAAAAGTAAGTTTCTTGTATAGATCAACATTAAAATATAAAGTAACTTATAAATTAATGGAGTCAATTCCATATAACATGCCCCCATGTGGCTAAGCAGTATGTCTGAAATCTTATAACGCTAAAAACAGAGTTTCGATACCCGTGGTGGGCACAACACAGATAACCTTTTGTACGGCTTTTTGTTTAACATACTGACAAAAAGTACATAATGCCATAAATCAACATTCATAACAAGGATGACTACCGAACTCTGTATGGTATAGCCTGGTGGTTAGAACACTCGACTCGTAAATTGCAGGTAGCGTGTTCGAATCCCGTCATCGAACATGCTCGTCCATTATGCTATCGAGCTACCAAACCTCAGGTTGGAAAAAATCATTAATGGCTTTCAAGGTTGCATCCTTTAGCGATGATTTTACTTAAATCTCCTTAAGTCTTACAAACACATCTTCCCTCATTGTTGCTTCTACCCCTAAACCACATCACTTTCTTTATCAAGTTGACGATAGCTGGAAATTGAAATTAAAGATAGACTGATCTTATGTCTCTCCAAGTTGTTTCAAATCTTTATCTCCGAAGTAGAAGTAATGTTTACAACTTGAACAAGTATAGAAACTGTTGTTAAAATCGTTAGAGTTATGAATGTATAAGGTAATTTTATCATCTGCTCCAATAAACAAAGAACTAAGTTCCAACAAAAGTTCCGAATGAAGAGACTCGAAAATACGACGATTCATTTTGCTTTCGCTTCCTGTTCATTAAATGGTAGTAACTGTATATTTACACTTCTTCTAGGCTTCATATGAACTGATTCACTCACTTAGTTATGAATCTGATCTCCACATTTTAGTAAGAACTCCACTGACACATATTTTTGTTACAATGTATATTCATCAGCGAATTCGTTTAATATCAGTTTGCTTTTAGACTTTTCCTATTATTGAGCAAAATGTCCAATACAAAAACAAGATGACAAAAATTAAAGGTTTAGGGGAAATGTTGGAACATAACCAAAGTTCAATACATTATCTATTACGACTTCATTATGTTTCTATTTTATTTTATCTCTTTATATTGCCCTATGCAGAACAAAATTAGTTTCGAAAAGAAAAGGAAAGGAAAAAACGCTACTTTTAAACTTAATAGACTATACAGGAATGATTCTTTCAGTTTAGGTGTGATGGGGAACCAAACATTTTGTATAGAAATCTCTCCTTCAATCCCAGATGTGGAATGAATCCAAATAGTTTGTCCAGAAACGACTCTTTTTCAATCTCAGATATGGTAGTGAAACCAAACAGTTTGTACTGATGTGAGGTGGAAGGAAACGGTTTTAGCAGAACAGACTGCCTTAATCCCAGAAGTTGAACAATAATGTTAGGCGATAACGAAAAACAAAGTAAATTGTACATATTTTCTTGTAGTTTTTTTTTTTTAGAATCTCATTCTAACTAATATGAACGTGATCTAGCGGTTAGTGTGCCGGGACTGTGGAGTTCGTGGTTCGTGACTGCTACCGCAAAAATTCTTTTAGGATGCACTATAAGAGTGACAGTCAAATCCTACAAACGAGAGTAGCTCAAAATTTAGAAAAGTAAACAACTGATACAAAGAAATAGTTAGAAAATGAGTATTCTATTCCGTACAGGCAAGTTATTTCATCATAAGAAGTGATACACGTAAAGTAACTCACCGTGGACAGTTTTGTTTGATATTGTTTCAACATAAATGTTACATGTCATAATGGACTGGTTTTATTTCTTGTTTCTTTGTTTTCCAGACATTTGTGCAAAGCTACTCAATGGCTATCTGCGCTAACAGTCCCAAAATTTGAAGTAATAGACTAGAGGGAAGCCAGCTAGTCAAAAGAACCCACCGCCAACTCTGGGCTACTCTTGTCTTTTCGAGTAGTGATATTTCACCGTCACCCTTATAATGCACCCAGGACTCCAAAGTGTAGAACAGGTCGACAACTGGCATGTTAATTATTGGTCGACGCCCGGTCCTGTTTCGTTTCTGCAGATCGGCGTTATTATGTGTTTCAAATAACCATTCTAATTAATCGTTGATGCAAACTTAAAATTAGCTCCTTCTAGGAGTGTGCCCCCCCCCCCTCTTCAGTAGCACAGTGGTATGTCTGCAGACTTACAACGCTAGAAACCAGGTTTCGACACCCGTGGTTGGCAGAGCACAGATAGCCCATTGATTGTGTAGCTTTGTGTTTAACTTCAAACAAGCAAACAAACTTCTTGGAGATGTCAAACTGTTAAATTGAAAAGAAGTTTGTGACAGTGGCTTCATAAAATTAAAACAAAAAACAGTATCTGAACACTATTAATAATATAAAGTATTTTAAAGTGATTGCCACGACTCATTTATCTATATTGAGTTTTAAAATGACTTCACGTTAAGTTGCCATTGAAACGGTCCTAGCCTTTCGGATGAGCCAAGTATTTTAATCTATAAAATGTTTATTACGAAGATTGGGTTTCGGATAGCTGATTTGATTCGCTTCGACTGTATCAGTGCGAACTAATTTTATTAGTTTGAAACTTGCAAACGCATATCAAGAACGTTAAACTTTAACGTTTATCGTCTATTATTATGGTATAAATTAATAGTACTCTTCCTGTAATGAGCAGGGAATACGTCCCAAATGATTTAAGTTCTTAGCGAATATATATTTAGACGTAAAGTAACGTATTTGTATCATCAGACATAATGTAATGTATATTATCAAAAATAAAGTAACATATTTGTATCATCAGACATAATGTAATGTATATTATCAAAAATAAAGTAACGTGTATCAC